AGCCAAGAGCTCCAGAAGCAGCGGCTCTCCTGGGGTTGTGCCAGGACTGGGGCTGAGCCAGAACTGGGGCTGGGACCAAGCTTCTCTCTCACCCTGGTCACAGACTTTTCCTACTGACCTTCTAAGTTGTCTATGTTGTTTGTGGGTTGAAAAGTCTGGAAACTGCCACAAATGCCAGCGATTCAGTCCCCTGAGGCTTGCTCCAGGTTCGCTGAGACCTGGTCTTTGCCTGAGAGCCCACACTCAACTGTGTTTCTCTCCCAGCCTGGCAGAGAACTTTCTAATCAACCATCCAAGTTGTCAAGGGCTGGAAATTTGTTTCACTCTATCTTTTTATGGATTCTGCTGCTCTAGAATTTGTTTAGAGTCTTTTTTTTTACAGGTATTTGGAGGAATTTGGGGGAGAGCTCAAGTAAGTCACTGCTTTTACTCTGCCATCTTGGCTCCACCCCCCCCTTCCGTCATTTCTTACAGCACACCTATTACATTCATATACCATACTTTGTTTAGCCATCCCCCAACCCATGGGCAATCCCATAGTTTCCAATTTTTTGCCACCACAGAAAAAGCTGCTACCAATATTTTTGTATGTTTAGTTTTCCTTTCTTTGATCTCTTTGGGGTATAGGCCTAGTAGTGGTATTAATGAATCAAAGAGTACGCACAGTTCAATAGCACTAACAGATCTAAAACTAACTACAAAGCAGTAATTATCAAAGCTACAGAGTATTGATATACAACTTGCAAAAATAAGTGAACAAAATAGTGTGGTGTACAGCAGACCCCAACTACAAAAATAAAATCCAACTGGAAAGCAATTGGGCAGAAATTAGGTTTAGACTAACATCTCACATCATATGCTATAGTTTTTTAAAAGACAAAATTTATATAGTACTTTAAGTTCTGCAAAGAAACTATGCATATATTTTATCTCATTTATCTTCACAACAACCCTGTGAGGAAAGTACTACTATAATCCTGGTTTTATAGATGGGAAAACTGAAGCTAAAGAGATTAAGGGCAATTTTCCAAAGGCCACAGTTAGTAAGTATCTAAGGTAGAATTAAAATTCAGATCTTTCCTCAATTTCAAGGCTAGTATTCAATACCATCTACTAAAAAGCAGAGATGAGGAAGGAGAACACAACCATAAGCTACTTCCAGTTTCTGCATTTCACATAGGCTAGGGAGAGAAACAAAGCTCTCTAAAAATGGAATGGGTTGCCTTCCAAAGTCCTTTCACCTGTCAGAGATATAGGAGAATATATTCCTATTTTAGGCTGAAAAATGACTAGACGATCTCTAAGGATTTGTGATTTGTAACAAAGGGATTGGGGGAAAGTGAGAAAGAAAGAAAAAGAAAAGACTGTAAGAAGATATACCACAGTTTAGTGTATTTTCTGCATTTCTCAGTCGGTACTTGTGTTTATTGTCAAAGCTCACAATTTATTTTTGGAAAAAAAAAACAACTTAACATAATATTAAATTCTGAATGATTCCATAGTTATGAATATATGACTTAGGTTTGGTAACTTAATTTTGTAACCTGAAGTGTTTGTCACCTTATTAGCTATAGCCTGAAAGTCCTTTGTATAATGTAGAGTTATCAGATTACCTAATTTTGTTTACTTCTCATTCTTCAGTGCTTAGAGGTAATATTTGAAACCCACAGTTTTTTGGGGTTTTTTTGTTTTGTTTTTTAAATTTTAGTCTCAAACACCAGAATACAAATACAGAACAGACAAAAGAAAAAAAAATACCATAAACTCAAATATTGGAACTTAAATACAAAGAAAGAAAAGAAAAAAAAAGGATGGGATCTGAACCCCTAAAAGGAAAAGACCATGTCTTTGTGATCTGGACCCCAAAAAGGAAAATCCCTTGACTTTCCCAAATCCCTGGCATTTGCCTGAGACTGTAATCTACTCAACTGAACTTTCATTGTGGCTAAACTCAATCACCTCCTGATTGCCCCTGGCCACTTCCCACCCTCAATCCTTTTTAGTCTCCAGTCTCCTTAGGCTACTTGCTTTGGTTCATTCCAGTTTACTGGCCACTCCCATCCAGATCTTCCTTAGACCCCTCCTCCAGTCACCCCAAACTACTGGGACACTCCTAGATCCCTCCCACAGTCTTTCTGTATATCAGGTCCATCTTGTCTCCATTAAGGTGCTCAGATTTCTTAAGAATTTAGCCAAGGGCTCAGATTCTTATAATCTAGCCAATAGTTCACAAATGTTCAGATTCCTTAAGAGTCTGGCCAATATGGTGGCGCTTTCATAAACCTTGTCTTTGGCTGGGGGGAAAAAAAGAAGAACATAAGAGAGGATTCAAAATACGTAATGATAAAATTTCACTTCAGGAAAGCCTGTGTGACAAATACTACACATTGTATTGAGAGTTGTCCATCTTTGCTTCCTTGTAAGTTTTCTTTTGTTCTCTGCTGTGCACTTTCTACTTTGTTCTATTTTTGCCCTCCCCCGCCCCTTACCCCAAAGAAGGCTACAATGAAGTGCGGATATATTTCTATATAGATATACATACACATGTACATATATACACCTATATACACACATAGACATATACTTTCCCTAACAAATTCGACTCCTGATCTTCATATATATTTAGAAGAGTATAGAAGTCTTCTAAATTCTTAAACCCATTCCTGATGAAAGCAGGTTACCAGAACTACCAGCCCTTCTCCCCATTCTAATCCCCCTGTATTGATTCTTCCTCTTGTACCTCATTTGTATAAAATAATTACTCTTCTTAGTTTTCCTAGATGGTTTTACTTTTTAAAGTCATATATACTCAGGTCTACTCCAATCTTTCTTACGAATTACCCAATTACTAATGACAATCTTAGACATACATTTTACATATATAAAAAGTAAATGGTATGATGACCCACATGTACAAAAATATTTACAGCAGTTCTTTTTGTGGTGGCAAAGAACTGGAAATTGAGGGGATGCCCATCAATTGAGGAATGGCTGAATAAGTTGTGGTATATGAATGTAATGGAATACTACTGTGCTATAAGAAATGATGAGGCCTTCCTATCAGATCAAACACAGTTTTCAAGGGGTTAGGAGAAAATATTTTATCTAACTGAATCCATAATACATTTAAAACATTACACAGTTTTAAAAAATGATGACGTGCTCCCCAACACAAAACCCCATTTTTTTCTTTAGTAGGAAAAAAAAATCAAAATTAAAAATAGCCCAGAGAACATCACATATTACCAATGATGTGTGCCTGAAGAGGTATTAAAAATATCAACCGGAAATATAAGATCAAAAAAGGAGATAAGAACAAGGCATTACCAATGGACAACCTGAGTATGTCAGAGGTTCCAAGATTTTAAAAGGCCTAGAAGTAAGGTCTCTGGCACATACAATGTATCTTCTATGGAAAATTAAGAGAAAAAAAAACAGACATGAATACAGAATCTCACATGAGATGAGAAATCCATTATTTTTTAAATTCTGAACTTAAAATAGCCCCAAAAATGAGCATTTCCATACACGCAGAAGAGAAAAAAGAGGACTATACCTGAAACTGTGACTACTGTTAATAGGATGCTTTTACTTTAAAATATATATGAAGAAAAATAAAAACAACACTCAAAATAACTCTGTAAAAGGAAAATCATTCCTCACTGTATAATAAATTGAACATTTAACTTTCTAAGCTGTCTTGCCTGTCTATGGTTTTAATTTGTAAACTTAAGACTTTCTTAAAACATTTACATTTTTATATTTTTACCCTTTTACTAAAAAATTTGGATATGTTTAAAATCATTGAATAAAACAGTACTTAATTTTTGTTTATAGGAGAGTTATTTTATGACTAGAGCTTCAGTGGGATACTAGGGGCTGAAGTCAGATTTCAGGGAGTAGAGAGATAAATGGGCAGTAAAAATAAATCAAGTTGTAGAAAACATAGTTCTACCTTCCATTAGACTCACTGAAGTTGCCTTCCTCAAGGAGTACAGATCAGAAACAGAAGCAAAGACAGCATAAAGTGGAGGTTTATATACAGAATTGGAGATTGTATGATAGACATGGCAAAGGACAGAGGGACAAGAGAGTACAGGATGGTGATGTAGTCACACATGCTGAAATAGCCATCAAAACTATCTAGGTAGTAGAAGAAATTTAGTTCATCCCTAGTTTGAGTGTAGGAGAAATTATCATAGGGTCCAGTGAGTATACACTATGGATTTGGAGTTCTCAGTTTAGTTTAGACTGTTCTCAGAGAAGAGAAAAATCATTCATAAACTAGGAGACATTAGTATTTGATATAGTCAGATCAGCAAGGAACTAATAATGTAAAGTACTGATGCCATGAGATTCAGAACAATGAAGGAGGGTGAGGAAATGTGTGTCTCATGAGTCATTAATATGAATATAGAAGTAGTCAAGGATAACAGTTGAGAAAAGGTGAATAAAAAGGAAGCAAAAAAATATACAATTAGAGCTGTGCAACAATGGAATTGGCTGCCTCGTGAAGTGGTGAACTCCTCATTACTGTAAGTAGACAGGCAAACATCTGTCAGAAGTGCTATAGAAAAGATTCCTATATTGAGCAGGAGGACAGACTCACTAGATCGTTCCTTACGGTCCCTTCCAGCACAAAGATTCTAATTATTTAAGTGAGGCTGAGTTTTCTTAAATGTTAAATGACAGGTTGGACCTGATGATCTCCCAAGGTCCTTTCCAGCTACAAAACTTAAGATCTCTTATGAATATCCATCTCAATTATCCCCATGCCCTCTGAGATCTTACCTACTAAAAGTTTTAACCAAAAACAAAGAATGGAACTGGATATAGCTAATAATAGCTAATTAACCTCTCTGTGCATAATTTTCCTAATCGATAAAGTAAGGAACCCGAACTGATCTCTTAGGTCACAGTTTCAACTCTAAAGCTATGATATAATTTTCTTTAATCAGTTGTGCATTCTTTTGCTAAAAGCCACAGATATTTATGCATACCTCTCTGAAGAGTGCTCCATAAAACTGAACAATATATGGGCAATCACTACTTCGCATCACCACATCCAAGTCCATAAGAAGCTGTTTTTGCTCTTTTTCATCCACTGTAGACCGAATCCTCTGAAAAAATAGTTATCATGAAAAATTATTTCACAAAAACAGAAAATAACCATTTTTGGAACCTGTTTTTAAGATTTCTACCACAAACAAAAATTAAAAACAAGTACTACTCTGAAAGTTCACAAATAATATCCTAAGTCATAAGAAAACCTTTTCAAAATGAAAAATCAATTCAGTATTTATTCTATTTGTCAACTGAATGCTCTGCTAAGTTACTACTCTCCTCTTCAGTTGCACTCAAAGATTATAGAATGAAACCTGAGGAGGATCTTCCCTTATGGTAAAAAAGCAGGTGAAAAAACTGTGTAATAATGATTTTATAAATCAACAAAATTTATTTTTTCTTCTCATAGTGACATTCACAATCTCAACTTTATTAATGCACCTTATATAGCGTGTTTAACAAGAAAGCCAGGAGTTAAAATTAAAAAAAAAAAAAGATAGCATTATTTTCTAAGAATTCCAAAGGCACTGGCTCCACAAGTGTCTTGAAAGAGGAAGGCAATCAAATGAATTTCTATTTCATAGATGACAATCCAAATGCACAGAAAAACAACTGACAACCCTAGGGGTTATAAGAAGCATTAACTTAAACAGAAGCAGCTGCTTCTCTTGCTCTAAGACATGTCAGATGAAAGGACTGTAATTTTATTGTTTACTAACTTCTTCGCTAACTATTATGTTTTCTGTGTGAATAAACTGACTAATCATTATAAGTTTATATTTGCAAATCTCATTTTGTATTTTATTTCCCAAATGAAAAATAATTTAAAAAAAGATCAAATGCTTATAGAAATCAGAAATTATTTCCCCATCACTCCCTTACTGCCTCAGTATTTTTATTCATTTAACAGTTAGAAACTTTGGGGATGATATTAATATTCATCTTTCAGTCAAAAAGAGCATCTCAGAGGGGTAAAAATTATTAAAACTTAATAATATTGAAAACTATTCATAAACTTGTGGTGCTCATTTATGCAAAAAATTACATTATTTCCTGGAAACAAATTTTTCTAATATATGACAACTTTATTAGCACCTATATTGTGTATCAGAATCAGAACAGCAGTCCCAGGAACCAATGACAAGGGAGTGGAGGTGGGGACGTGAGGGAGGAGCACATACAGTGACTAGCTCCTGTCAGCAATGACAATGAATCATCTATTAGGGATTAAGAGTAATACTAATTTGTTGGGGGACAGAGAGAAAGAGACTTTTTATTACATATGTCTTTAGACACATGAAAATAGCACCACTATGAAAAACTTTTATTGCTATGGACATTATTAATGTCACAGTCACTAAAGTAGTACATTTCCCTAACATAATTCTTTATATAGGTATATCTGAAACTTCAACTATTTCCCTTCCCTGGCTTCAATTTCATCATGTTTAAAATGAGGAGACTGTATTAAATAATATCTAAAGTCTCTTCCACTTCTGAATTCTGAGTTTTAGGAAACATAACAAACTGCATGTTACGGACAAAACTTCCAAAGAACTATTTTTTGGCTAGTCATTAAAGAATGTCTTTTCTAAAAACAGTATTTCCTTTAGCGCTTACTGTAGTGATCTGAATGTACACAGGACGTGCTTAATAAATGTTTTAATGAATTAACAAAAAGGATGAATAAATTGGATCAATGGCTTGCAGGCCAATATCCAGGAAACTAGGTAGTATAGTGCAGAGGTAGTAAATTCATGCTGGCTATGAACCTTAACTGGTAAATTTCTTAATCAAAATACAATACAAGATAGATTATAAATCTATTAACCTGTGGTTGATCCATTTTTATTTGAGTTTGATAGTACCAGTGTAGTTGATAGAAAGATGGACTTGGGAGTCAAGAAGACAAGTTCAAATTATGCCTCAGACACTAGGTGAATGACCCTGAGCAAGTTTCAGTCTCAATTTCTTCATCTGTCAAATGGGGAAAGCTATAACAAGTATTTCACAGCATTATGATTATATGTACATGTGTACGTATGTGTGTGTGTATATATATATGTGTGTGTGTGTACACTATGTATATATATAATGTTATACTATGTGTATATATTATACATGTATATGTTGTACATAATATGTAAGATATGTATGTACGTACACACACACACACACACACACACACACCCCTGCTTTACAAACCCTTAGGTGCAACATAAATATGAGCTTTTACTATCGTACCCAAAGATACAGATCCATCAGCAAATAGTATATTCATTTCAAAGTTTTCATAGGCCTTTCAGACCAACCCCTTAATTGTTAGTGAGGCCCAGGAAGGGCAAAATCCTTTTTTAAAATTACAGTCAACTTTGTGACTCAAGCTATGCAGGTATAATCATGGCAAAAGGTCTGTTTTCCTACTAAAAATGAATATCAAGACTGTAGGCATGAACAGACTGAATTTGCCATTATTTTAAGGTTTAATATGAGATACTAACAGCTAAATTTAAGCAACACCACTTTTAGACTACCTGGATTTTGCCTGTTTTCTACTAGAATACATTTTTACATACTTGATATTTCAAGAGCATTTCTAATTATACAAGACATACACACACACACATGCATATATACATATTAACATTATCTTATTTCATTGTTTAACTCAATAATAAGCAGTCTGAATTAATCCAGACTCCATTAATTTGTAATCTATGAAAATTTAGATTGAGAATTTACTTCTCCTAAGCAAATTTTTGTAGATTGTATAAAGAGTTAAAAAAAAAAGTCTTGAGAAAAATAAATAAAATTAATTATCAATCAAGTTTGAAGTATTTAGAACTACTTTAGAAACATTCATCTGCTCACAAGTGAAACTGCAATTTCAAATAATGATTATGTTTTCTGTACAAGAACCCCATTCATCTCTACTTGCCAACATTTTCTTTCCCTAGGTTAAGACACTATATGTAGTTGAAAGCAATACAACATTCTTTTAAAATATGACAAAAATCAGAACTTCAAGTAATTATAACTGGATATTTCCCTCAATTTAAATAAGTGAAGTTTTACCACATCTAGAAATTTTTTAAGGTAGAACACCAAAGCCCTAAAATAGAGACATGGCTAAGCTACATGCATTGCTAATAAAATTCAATTCAACAAATATTTATTGTTTTTAATATATACAAGGCACTATGTTATCACGTGGGAGATATAATGAAAAAAAATAAAATATTCTACATTAGTGGAAAAGGTCCACCTTGGCAAGTAGGAAGATCAACTCTTCCTTCAAGACTGGAACAAAATACAGATAAACCTTGAGAGACAGTATTTTCAAGTGTGATAAGGAAATTGATAATTGATGAAACTCCATCTTCTCAGTAACTTCCAAGGCAATGTTGTTTGGGGAACCTTAAGGACAGAAGGTTGAAACAGCCAAGGAACATAAGTGAATTATTAAGGGAAGAATAGAAGGATTGTCTAGCAATAGTGAAGACTCAGTTATGATAATTCAATTCAATTCATCAAAGATTAGGTGCCTACTCTGTGTTTAAGGTACTAAGTACGACAAAAATGAAATTGTCCCTCACTTTAGTGGAGCTTATATATTATATTCTACAGGGTGAGGGTGGGGGATTGGCAATATATTAAAAAAAAAAGGGTGAATGCAATATAAATTGAGATATGAGAGAACACTAAAACTCAGGAGATCAAAGGATATTTCACAGAGGTGACATGGGAAGGAAAATAAGGATGGTGAGAGGCAGAAATGAGGGAAGACATTCTAGGCATGGGGAAAGACAGGCAGTGTTCAGGAACAGGAGATGAATTATTGAATTTAGCAAATACTAGACAGTTTGGCTGAAATATAAAGCGTGAAGAACAACTATGTGAGATAAGACCAAAAATAAAGTTTGGAGCCTGACTGTAGAGGGGCTTAAATATTAAGTTGAAGAATCTGCATTTCATCCTAGAAACAATAGGGGGCTAATGAAAGTTTTTTTAAACACACACACACACACACACACACACTCTTTTTAAGTACAATATGTGGGAGGAATTGGGGCAGCTGGGTGGTGCAGTGGATAGAGCACCAGCCCTGGAGTCAGGAGGACCCGAGTTCAAATCTGGCCTCAGACATATAACACTTACTAGCTGTGTTACTCTGGGCAAGTCACTTAACCCCAATTGCCTCACCAAAAGAAAAAAAAATATATGTGGGAGGAATGGCTAGACAACAGCTAGTCTGTAAAAGTCCTATAGTTCTTAGTGTACTCTAAGTCAACAGTGGGATATAGTAATTAGAAAAAAAACAAACCTTGTTCTATTCAGTTCCATTCAGAGGACAGAACCAGAAGCAACGGATGAAAGCAGCATATAGGGAATTTTGGCTTGATACCTCCTAATGATTTGTGGGATTTTGCTGCCTCAAGAGCTAGAAGGTTTTCTTCTAGCACCATCAGCAGTCTTCAAGCAAAAGTTCTATGACTACTTGACAATTATGTTGTATGGGGGATTCTTTTTCAGCTAGGGGCTAGGGGTGGGGAACCTGTGGTCTTCTAGGTCCTCAAGTGTGGCTCTTTAACTAAGTCCAAACTTCACAGAACTAAATTTGTTCTGTGAAGTCTAGATTCAGTTAAAGGTCACTATGTGAGTAGAGAGAAAAGGGTAAATTCCAGATCTGTTCTGACAACATGAGGTAAGATAAAGGAAAGGGAAGATAAAAGAATATAAAATGAAGAGATTTAGGATGAAGTTGAGCAATAAAAAAGGGACCCAAAGACTCAAAGCAGGAAGGAACCTTAGAGTCTATCAAGTTCAATCTTCTCATTTCACAGATAAGAAAACTAGGACATTTAAAACGTTCAATAACTTGTCTAGGGTCACACAGTTAATAAGTAACTGAAGCAGGATTCAACCAGGTCTTCCTGACTCCAAGTCCAATGCTCCATCCTGCCTCTTCCAAAAGGCACAATGAAATTTGAAGAGCAGAGGAGACTATGGACTGAGTAAGGTGGACAGAAATGAATGTGTGACAAATAGTAGTTTT